AATTATTATCCGCAATGCATATATTTGTAATACTTCACAAATCAGGTGAGACATAACGTATGTGCTATATGTACCAGCTGTTATTAAATATACAAAGATTTTCTCTACGAATATTAAGAATGGAAAAGCCACCATCGGGATCATCTACAAACCGACAAGCTTACAGTATATGGATGAAGGCGGTTGAACTCCATTTTTATATTTTGCGAATTTATTCTCGTGTGAAGTTTTGCGGTTTATGTACGGATAAAAGTAATCAGTAATGGACAATAACTCCTTATCCTAAAGGGTGTGCCATTTATCACATGATTATCACCATGGATACATTGTCTGTCAACCAATTTTGATTGGTTAATTTCTTGTGTAATGCTATCACACCATACATGACTAATTAAAAAACATCACGTGATAAACGGCATGCCCGATCAGTCACATGTGGCATTACTGTGCCGATTTTTTTTTAGATTATCAATAAAAAAATCTTTGCCGACTTCAGCATGAACTCATTCAAAGCTCATACTCTTCTGTCTCGCAAATCTTGGGGAACTCTTCTGTCTCGCACGCACTCCATTGCGTCGCCAGTTGGGCTTTTCCAATCTCAAGTCGGAATGTTTAAACTCACTAGATCTCACCAACTAGTATTGATTCGACCCTATAATAATGCTCAAGAAAAGGAAACGTAAGAAACATTAATCCAGCTGTTTGTGACCACTACTTCAACACTTATCCTTGCTCTTTCTAGACAAGCGGAAAAAGGACTGAAAAAGTATTGGAATTCATTCAAGACCGTGGTGACTGACCCGTCCAAGAAAGTGCGTTGGGTTTTTTTACTAATTTTTATCAACATTTTAACCGTTTTTTCTTTTAGTTAGCCAGTAAAAAAGGTTTATCCACCATGGGCATTGGCCTTGTGATTTCTTATTTGTACGTCACCCATGAAAGTCCCGGAGCCCAGGACAGAAACATGGCGGATGTTTTCAAGAAGGGAAAAATCGATCGGGGGGTTAGTCCACCTATTTCTAAAAAACTGGTCAAACGCGAGAATCTTGAAAATGCAGTGAAGAATATTTTGCAACTCTCTTTACAAAATTACTTTCTTATTTCGGGCGAACATGGGACGGGAAAAACAACCTTGGTTCAAAATGCCATCTTGAGTCTCCAAGAGCCAAAGGTAAATTATTCAATGTTCTCTTTCCTTTTCGATTTATTCACATTCGATTTCTTCTTGATAGGGTGCTATCCATTTTGAGTGTCCTTCAGATGCGAAAGAATTTGCAAAGAATTTGTCAAAACATCTTGATTATGAATTATATCCATTCAAACTTCGAGATATTATCATGCAGTTGACAACTAATGCAATAAGGAAAGGTACCGTGTGCTTCGTAACAATTTTCTTCACATCCATGCTCACAAAGGCTCCACCTGGCATGTAGAACAAGACGGTCGTTCAGAATACTCTAGTTGGAACCTCTTAAGCACGCAACTTCTCCGCACAGCGGATTACTATATGAAAAAATACAAGCGCCCGATAGTTTTGGTTCTTGATCAAGTAGATCGCATTGCTAAAAAGGACCCAGAGTTTCTTGGGATACTCCAAGATTTTGCGAAGAGCGGTGCGGACAGAGGCACCCTTGTCATTGTATTTATTGCGAGTGAAGGCTTGATTCCGCAAATTATGAAATGTATGGGTGTTATTATTTTTAATATTCTGATATACATGGTTAAGTTCTTACTAAATATCATTCCTATTCTTTACAGCTCGCTCTGCCTGGTCGCGGGCAAGCGCCACCTTTGAAGTTGGTGATATCTCAGATGAAGAAGCCGTGAAATTTCTGCAAGATTCTGGTATTGATAAAAAAAAAGCTGAAGACACAGTGAAATATCTAACGGGTGGACGGTTTGCTTTATTGAAGAATGTCCAAGAATTAAATCGAGTCGATCCTAAAAATTTAGTTGAAAGTATGTAATTTGTTGCAATTTTTGTTCCTTAACGTAAAGAACTCGTTTTCGTCTG